TTTCATTTCCTTATCTTACACTTTACCAAAATGTGAATATGACGAAGCGTAGAAAAAGACGAACGTGAATTTTTTTTCCACATCATAACATGGTATTCAGTCCTGGAGGTGATAAAACCAAAGGATAGTTGATAGTTTAAAACTAACTCAATATGGTGCACAAATGTAGGTGGTAAATGCCAATTCTTTTCATTGGATTTCCACAACGTAAACATATCATTAAGTCGTGAATATGAGTAAGTCAAAATGATAGTTGATTTGTAACTGGATAAGATTGGGGTAAAAAAGGTTTAAGATCTAACATGTAAACTGGTTCAGTTGTCAATGGTCCCAGTCTGCTATTCAGATGTCACGTTCCTCTGTTTACACTGGCTACATTGCTGTACATGTATTTTGAATATGTTATCGATACCCTATTTGGTAATATGATATCTGAGGAGCTGAATCAAACATTGTTCAAGTAACGTTTACACTCAAAGGTTCGGGCTAACTTGTGTACAGGATATATGCAGTACCCGCAGTATACACGCACCTTGAAAAGGACACGTTGTCAATAAATTGTGAATACAGATTTCTGTGAATGCATGAAACCCATGATTTACATGGATAACAACTTATATTCATGATGATCCTTTCTACCAACTGGTCCTAGACAAAACCTTTTGGCATTGATCTTTCCTGGTTTATAAGTACCCATTAACAACTGTGTCGACTGGATTCTGGAATTATGAGTGCTGCTAAAAACGTTACAGTTGATTTTCTGTTATATCTGATTTTCATTATCCTTAAAAGTCCCTAAACAAGGTTCTGTCCTCTTTGGTCGGTATCCACTGTCGTGATGGAGACCCGGATCTATAGGTTACTAGAGGATTCGCCCAGTCAAAACCCGGTTCCATAAAACATTGAGACAAGCCTTTGGATACCGGGTATAGTTCAGTGTGTATCATCATATATTAATACAGTGGTAAATTGAATCTATCAACGCCAATGTAAACTGAGACCCTCACCACCAATGTGGACCAGCCTTTAAGACAGTAGTAACTGAGACCCTCACCACCAATGTGGACCAGCCTTTAAGACAGTAGTAACTGAGACCCTCACCACCAATGTGGACCAGCCTTTAAGACAGTAGTAACTGAGACCCTCACCACCAATGTGGACCAGCCTTTAAGACAGTAGTAACTGAGACCCTCACCACCAATGTGGACCAGCCTTTAAGACAGTAGTAACTGAGACCCTCACCACCAATGTGGACCAGCCTTTAAGACACGCCTGATGTTTTGATGGATGAATATCTTGTCTAAAAGAACAATATTGACACAGAAAGTTTTTCAGTGTATTTTAGGGGATCAGTAATAGGGTTCTATTACATCTATTGAAGTAGTCAGAGTGTTGTATGTTTGGTATACACTAGGGTTTAAGGACTTCTGGAAAGATAAAATGAGGATTTGACCTGCCTTGTGTCGTAATGAGTATCAAGGGCCTGACATAGTGATTTTCCAGGTGATACACGTTGGCAGCAATATGGCTTTGGTGGCGACATTTGTGTGAAGGTTGTAAATAGGGTACCTTAGCATTACATCTGGGATACATTTTTTGAATGTAACGACCATTTTCTGGCATGCCTAGGACGAAATATGTTTCATAGCTTCTTAGATTGATTCATAAATATCTTGAGTCTTGTGAGGAAAATAAACCACCCTTACCACATTCATCTGCTAAGTTTGTAATAGCTGAAGATACACCAGTGGCTCAACTACAACAGGGACTGGTTGAACTAAGTGCACGCCACTCCAAGACACAAATGCGGGAGAGCATATGTTTTAAAAGATTTACCGGGGGAGAGGCCCTAACCCACTTAAGTGTACGGGCCCCCACTCATCTAGTTGAGACACTGTGATGCACCACATTCAGTACAATATCGATTTGTATAAAACTGTATTAAAGTAACATAGTCACAATATGAAAGGTTAAAGTTCGAAGCTGTATAAATATTATAGTATTTGATTGGTTAGTAAGATAATTATTAAACACTAGAGCTGTATTATAGCTCAATAGTCAATACCAAGTTATCATAATATAGTAGTATTTAAACGGCGGCCACTTCAAAGGTAGAAATACCTATACGTAAATACTATATATTGGGTGTTTTACTCTTTGGTAGTAATGTTTGAAATGAAATGAAATGAATGGGGTTTAACGTTCTATTTTTCTAAACCTGATTTGGCTAATGAAGACAGTCAACCCCATGCTATACACTATGAGGAAAACATTAGCCCACCCTAACAGTCGAGGGATCTTTAACTTACACAGCCTTTAGCCCTCAGGCCCTTGGTTTATTGTCGCACACGCACGGCTAGACGCTTGTTTAATTCTGCATCACTGACAAGGGGGAAAATGAGCCACCGCATACCCCCGATCGTAACGTACAAAGGTGCACTCTGAAAGACTGGAATTATAAAATATATTATAAACTACACCGGAAATTTAATATCAAGTTTTACATGCTCATACAGGCAGGGAGCTTTATCAGTTATGATCAGTACAGAGAATTAAACTTGCTGTTACCTTAGTGCAACTCTGATAGGCTTTTTCAAAAAAGGTACAAAAACCAACATCGTTCTTGTCTATTTAGCTTCAATGATCCACTAGTTTTTTAAATCTTTTGTCTATAAAATGTCTTAATTTTTTACAATCAGGACTTTTTAATCAAGTGAAACATGCTGAAATTGTCCCATTGTTTTCTTGCTGATAGATAATCCTATCTGTAAATTCTGGGAGTTGATAGTTGATCAATGGTCTGGATTGATAGCGATATATTTAAAGGGATCTAGTAATATAACAGATGGCAGATAAATGAAATGAAATGGAGTTATACGCTCTTCTTGTCTTTTCCAGGTTGCTCTAATGAATTGAATTGAAGTTAAGATTTTATATTTTTTTATAACCAAGCAATGAGAAAAAGAGCATCTGATATCATTTTTCATGGGTGCCTTTTATTAACTGCCCCTTATTTTGAATTGTGAGAGCACCTCACATCATCACATGCTGGAAATGTGGATGAAACAAATTTTTGGAGGTGTGCTTCAGGGTGTGAAAAGGTTGGAAACCACTGATTTAGTTGGATTGCTGTAGGTGGGTATTATTATTTATTGATCGTCGCATCGTTAAATTTAATTTAACAAGTTTCAAGTTTAATTCAGAGAATATTCAAGGGAATATATCCCTTAATACTATTGTTATCCCTTCAAGGCATGTATAGAAACAGACAGATATTAATCAGAGTTTGAAGCAGACGATCTTGATGGCACTGATAGCAAGGCATGAACCCTGTATAAAAACCAATCAGTCACGATCGATCACTGACCATCGCCCCGACCCCGTCACAGTCTTAATTGATTTCAATTTATCCAGAAATTAAATCTTGGAATAATCCTGTCCCCTGGGGGAATGTTTTGGGATTAATTCTGAGAGATGGTATAGAAGCACTCGAAACACGGAAAGCCTCAAATAAGCATTAATTGACATGCAGGAAAGCTGTGAAGAGATTTTCCATTTAAACTAAGTCAAGAAGAGATCGATGCACCTGAACATTATCTTCAGAATTTCAGTTGTTTATTCCGACACTTTCAGGTAAAGAACGGTCTGTGGAATCAAGTGACAGTAAACCACCCTAGAATTTACATCCCACTATTCTAACAGGAAAATGGAAGTTTCATTGTCTTTTTCAAAAGATTAAGTCCAAGTGGAATGATGGATTGGAACAGTGTAAGATGGTAATGGAACCTAGCCTCATAAAAGCACTGGCATAGACTGTCAAAGTAAAATATAAATCACGAAAAATTCGGTAATTTTATCTAATATATATATATATATATATATACTACAAATATTTTTGTTTTCAGCCTAAAATTAAACAACCCAACCCCCGTATATCGTAACTCGAGATAATTTTATGATCAACGACAAATTTAAAACTATGACGATTCACTGACGACACAATACCAAGATATTTCAATGGGTTGTAAGTGGACTTGATAAGAAACCATATTGACGATAAATAGCCAAGATTTCATACTGACACCATTATCATATGTCTTTATTGTATCAATAATCATAAAGTTACTTCACATTATCTTACACGCGCCTGTCAATCAATATTTTAGTAACCACGCCCTACTCTGATTTGATTGGTTGACAGCTGTAGAAGGCGTGGTGTGTAGTACTCTACTTTTAATATTGAAATAAAACATCACTGTGTACAAGTGACTTTAGTATTCACGCGGAACATGTGGCTTGGTGATGAGTTGGGATTAGAGACCTGGAAATGAAGCTTAATTTCATCACTTCGTTTTACTAATTTCATTAAAGTGAGTTATGGAATTTTAAGGAATCCGATCCATCTTTAAGGGTAGCCTGTTGTCATCGGAGCTAGTGATAAGACGAAGAAGTGTTATCGTCAGGTGTTTTTGAAGGAGGCATATTTCCAGCATAGTTTCTAATTTCAAGATTTCAACACTGTTTCAGCATGTGTGAAACTATTTTAGAATTTTAGCAAGTTAATTAACTATTCCGGCTGTTGGTTTTTTTAAATGGATGTAGTTTAACCACTTGTTATGGATGATAAATGTATGGTGGGATAAAATCATTAGTCATTGCTTAACACTTTGTTTTCGTTACTTTTTGTCGAAATAAATTTGACGAGTTTTTGGATATCTAAACTGTCAGAATCTTTATTTTCAGAATAAAAGACAGCATTACCATGGTAAATGCAACGAACGTTAAGTCCCATGTAGATTTTTCACGCGTTTTAAATTTTTCTAACTACTTGCACGTTGCATAGCTTTATTAATTGCTTACACTTTGAGTCACTTAATTCCTTAATGAATCCTCTTTATATTTTCAGATTTGAGTGCCTTAAACCTGTCCACAACTTTATGGTACAGATATGAACTTATAAACCACTAGGACTCAGATTTCACAGTGTAACAGTTACCAGCATGGATCATAGTAGCAGTTGTGTGTGTCGTTTTGGATTTATACTTGCCATTGTGTCTTTAATAGTCCAAAGTGCTGATCTAAATTATAGAATCCCAGAGGAATTGGCCGTGGACACGTTTATTGGAGATATCCTCAGTGAAACGGATAATCTAAAAAGTGCAGTCAGTGTAGAAGACTATCCAAATTTAAGGTTTAGTTTTCTGACCGAGGGGAATGCTGTAACGTCGTTGTTTTCGCTGGATGAAAAAACCGGAGTTTTAAAGATCGGACCAAATTCAACATTAGATCGAGAAACCTTGTGTCCTTTTGCAATCATTTGTGAGATTTCGTTGGAAATCGTAGTCCAGTCAAATCGTAATCAGCTGTTTCGAAAAGTATCAGTAACCATAACTCTTGACGACATTAATGACAATCCACCAATATTCAACAAGGATACTTTAACGTTAGACGTATCGGAAGCTGTTCTGGTCGGAGCGTCAATCCCGATTGACGGAGCATCCGATCGCGACAGAGGACAAAATAATTCTTTACAAACGTACGAAGTCGTGCCTAAGGATGGAGCTTTTGGAGTATCGTTTCGTAAAAATCCAGACGGAACGTCGTATTTGAATTTAGTCGTGAAAAAAGAGCTGGACCATGAAACGAAAAGCCAATACTCTTTGCAAATCGTGGCTAAAGACGGTGGATCACCTCCGCTACAGGGTGTCCTTAATGTCATCGTAACCGTAACGGACGTTAATGATAATCTACCAAAATTTTCTAAGGAGAAATACAGTGTAAATGTGGACGAAAACGTACCAGCAAATTCCGTAATCGTAAATATTCACGCAACGGACAAAGACTCGGGTGAAAATGGCGAATTATCTTATAAACTGAGCTCACATCAAAACGAGAAAGTGAAAAATTTATTTCAAATTGACCCGACCACTGGAAACTTAACGGTCAAGGGAGATTTACAAAAGGAAGCTACGGACCAATATAATGTTATTGTTGAAGCGACCGATCATGCGTTACAACCCTTTACAAGTCAAACGGTCGTTACGATCAACGTACGTGATGTTATCAATAGTCCACCGAAATTAACTGTCAATGTGTTGTCAGGGTCAACAATCTCTGAATATGCAAATCTGAACGCTGTTGTCGCACACGTAGCTGTGAAAGAGTCGGATCGTGGTCGGAACGGTATTGTTACGTGTCAGCTACAAAGCACAGCATACTTCGAACTCCAAGGCTTTGATGTGGATGAATACAAGATTATCGTTGCTAAGAAACTGGATTCGGAGGTAACACAGAAACAAAATATCACAATTTTCTGTCAAGATGCCGGAACTCCGCCATTAACCGCCAACTATTCCTTCTCGCTGACGATTATCGACGAAAATGACAATTTTCCAGCTTTTATGACCACCAAATACTCTGCAACAATTTCAGAAAATAATGCTGCGGGCAAAAGCCTTCTGAGTGTCTACGCCACAGACTTGGATTCTGGATCCAATGGACGGGTGCATTACGAATTGGCAGACGATGCTTCTGGAAAATTCAGGATTATTCAAGAAAATGGCACCATTTCTGCTGCCGTGTCGTTTGATTTTGAATCGAGTCAATATGAGAATTTCTCCGTTTTGGCCATTGATGAAGGAAAACCTGCTAAAACAGCTACAGCGACAGTTTCAGTAAGAATCCTGGACGAAAATGATGTTGCTCCCGAATTTTCGAAAAATCCATTCAAAGTGTCTGTGTCGGAAGCAGCAAGGCCTGGAGAGATCGTATCTAAAATAGTAGCCGTGGATAACGAGTCAGGAAAGAATGGGGTCATTGTGTACTCGCTATTTGAACAGTCGAATGAAATACCTTTTATTTTATTGGAGAACGGTTCACTTATTTTAGATCGGGAGCTTGATTACGAAAGAAGGTCACGCTATGAATTTGAAGTAGTGGCTACTGATAAAGGAACGCCTCCACTAGAAACCAAGGGTCGTATAGTCGTCGAAGTAGAAGATGAAAACGATAATGTCCCTATTATAACTTTCCCCAAAGTCTCCAACTATATCGTCAACACAAGCTTATCTGATCCTAAGGGGACCATCATCTCGCGGATTCGCGTCGATGATTTAGACTCGGGGCTAAATGGCGAGATTCATTACGTCATCACCAGCCGTAACGACAGCGGGAGATTCGGAATTGATGCAGAGAAAGGCGAGTTGTTTCTGACCAGAGAACTTCATGAAAAGGATGTAAATTTATTCCGATTGGTTATCAGTGCCAAAGATAAGGGTAGTCCCCCTTTGGCACAACACGTGACCCTATTCGTGAAGGTCACTAAAGGAAATGGAACATCTGCTGCCTACCAAGAAACATCGAACGAAAAGAATATTTTGATAACCCTAACGATTGTTTGTGTGACTATTGTCATCTCGGCCATCATTGTTCTAATCATCGTTATCATCAGACACAGAGACAGAAAACGACAAACTGTTGGCAGACGACAAATGAACAGTAATGGCGACCCGAGTAAATATGACGACATTAAAAAAACTAACGTCATGAATGACATGAAATCCAAGATGGCGGACGACACTGATTTTGGTTTCCATGCAGTGATGACTGATAAAGGTTCTGTGATAAAGAATCAATCGTGTTTAGATAATCACAATACGGTAAGAATTCTCTTATTTACTTTTATTGTCGAGCAATAGTCATTAGGGACATATCAATAATAAATCGAATGCAGAACGGTATTTAAGTAGTAGCGTATAGAATTCATATCTATAGGATAGGGTAGATATTTTACTTAAGGTCTCTACAATTCCTGGAATTTATTGTAGCTTACACAACGTTCCAAAGCTTAACATTGACACATAAACTATTACACATTTCAATTTACACAACGTTTCTACAATTTACATTGTGCATCATCAGTGTATAAGATATACTACTTTCATAGTACACGTTTCTACAATTTACATTAAATCAGAAAGAAGGATAGCCTTCATAGTTGTGTAAAATGCTTTGAGTTCAGAGAGCTACTATTGGGCAATTCTTTGAAAAGATCTTCGAAAATACCACGATTCGCGTGTAGCTGACTAAGTAGACTCTAGTCAGAAAATAGGTAGTCCTTCTAGGGAATGCCGAATTGACAACACTGTTCAGGGACGACAATCATCCTCTGTCTCTCTAGCATAACCCATTTTAGTGGTACTCGTATAAAACGAGGTTTTTGGGCTAAAACACACCTTAGTAGATTTACAACTGTTTACTGCTAAATGTGGTGATGTTGATGTTGGTTTTGCTACCATTGAGTTATATCTTAAATTTGAATTCTAGAGTTTTGACAGTAGTTGTCATCAATGTAATAATTTATAGTGGATTTGATTACATCTTTAAACTTCTCTGTCTACCCTCCACGTGTTCCTATCAGATCAGGGTCAAAGGTTAGATAAAACTAAAATTATTCACTTCATTATTATAGGAAATTTGATATTTTTAACTATTATTAATCTTCAAACGTGTACGTCTTTACCCTAAAGAAATATCTTATAGATATACACTCAAAAAGAATTCAAATATCATTTGGCTTAAGTGGTATATGTAATATTGACGTCATACTCTTGATACATGTTTCTGGTAGTACAAGAAACGCATAGGAATAGAAAAAGTACGAATAACTTTTAGCGTCTCCGAAAAAAAGCTATAAAATCTCTTTCCAACAAATCAAGTCAATTCAGACGTTGTCTATATTCAAGCACCTGTTTTGAAGTCATTTGATTCTCGTTGCTGACACTAATTAGGTAATTTCTATAAGAAATAAATAAATAATCACATTACCAATATGGCACTGTAAAAAACCAGAAAATTGCTGAAATAAATAATATGAATCACGTATACATAGTTTTGTTACCATTGGCAAAATTTTAAGCAGGCAGGGAATAGTATAGTCTCCATGGTCATTGACCAATACGAGATTGACCAGTTGAAGTTGTAGCCTACCACATTAGGGTACTTCAGATGATCTTTTCTCTTTTTTGCAAAATCTTACCATCTCTCTTGACTCTTCAACTGAATTCCAGTCAAAGTGGAATCACTCTGGTATGATTTATCCGAAATTCCACATTGATTCGAAATGGTACGAAACGCGCACCTGTTGTTAAACCATTCACCAGACGATTATCTCTAATTCCCGCCAAATTACCAAGCCATCAGACTTCAATTATTGCCGCGCTGGTATTTTTATGGAGAACGCAGAAATAAAACATTTGATTAACTCGAAACTAAATGATACATTTTTGTAATTCTTCTAAGAAAAACAAACCTTCCTTGACAGTTTACTCGTCAAATTTCTATCAAATTGAGATTAGAGATCCACCAGGTGTGGCCTGATTGTAATTATCAGGAATCAAAACATATCTCTTCATTTCTGTTGAACTGTTGTACTTCAAATTTTCAGTTAAAACAAATGTATTTTATCAGCCCTTAGTCTCAAAGTATCTGAAATCAGGATCAAGAAAAACTTTCAGAAAAAGGGATTGGTGTTTGATCCAAAAATCAGAAAGAGTAAAGTCAGATCCCCTCAGGTGCTGAAAGTTTGATATGATCGTGTTATACAATACATCAGAAATATAAATATTTAGAAGACATGATTTTGGTAAATTTCGAGATTTTAAAATGGCCTATTTTTGCGATATGAAAAGCTATGATAAATGGACTTCTATTTTAAAATTTTAATTCCTGAAAATTCTGAAAATATTACTATTACCATTTATCATATCTTATCTTATTTTTGAAGGATCTTAAATGAACGTTGATAAAGATTCTAGATAACAATATAAAAACAGAAGAAACTGTATCTTTGGTATTTTGATACTTGAGTAAAAATAGAGAAAGTAATATAGTTTTATAAGAACATTAGTAAATTAGATTAGATTAGATTATCATTATTCTAAATATTTTGATATACCAACTTCTCGTGAGTTTGATCAATGATTTTTAAGTCTAATCTTAAATGATATAATTTATAAAAACATAATAAGCATTCAAAGATAAATAAGACTTGAACGACATTTAGATATTTAGAAGTGAGGAATACCGACTACACATCACAAACACAAGACAATATTATGGAACAAAACACACTTCTTTAATAAAATATTAAACACATAACGTTTATATTCCACTTCCATAAAACTCCGATGTGAGACAATGGATTAAGTATAAGATTTGAACGACATTTAGAAGTGAGGAATACCGACTACATATCACAAATACATGACAATATTATACAACAAACACATACAATATTATACAACAAACACACGTCTTTAAGAACTATACTAAACGTATTAACACAATTTGTGATACAAACAAAAAGCATTTAATTTTTCGATTAAGATTTGTAGATTACCTTTCTCTGATAATTCTTTAAATATTAATTTATTTACAAGAGCAAAGCAAAATTTATTCTTTTTACTTCTAATAAGTTGAAAATCAATATTGTTATTGTTTCTTACCCGAGGACATGTCATAATGGGAAAATGTATAATACATTCTGAACAGATTTGTTTCAATTTTTATCTTTTGAAGTTACTGTGACTAATATCTTCATCCGGTTTTCTTAAAATATACAATCACCAAAAATAAACTCTAGTTTGCTTTCTTAAAAAACAAAGAAACTATTTAAAATATTACAAACAGCTGCCACCATTATAAAAAGAGATTGCAAGTAAATGTGTCTAAATATTCTATTTATCTTAATAATACTTAAAGATTTTATTTCGGTTATTATCAACGTCTCACATCACGTTCCGAGATTTTAAAAAGTTAAAATAGTCTTAAAATATACACTTTGTTGCAGAAAGAGATTCAATTTTCTTATTTGAAAGTGTCAAAATTAGATCTTTTTATATTTTTTTTTTGTTAAAACATTGATTAGGGCATGTCCTGTCTAATAGGCGACATCGACTACAGTAACCAAAAAGAAGAAATATGGAGAGAATTATATAGGCACAGGCCTGTTTCCCAATCCTATTAGCTTATATAAAGTATACAATAATTTTTATATTTTTTATATTTTCAGTCAGGTAACAGTAGCAGTAAAGGACGGAATATGTCAGATAGCAGCTATAATTCTGCTGGTCAAGATTCAGGACGCCAGGAGTCAAATCTAGACGAATTAACAGCTTTACAGTTACATCAAGTTTTACTACAGAATTATAAACATAATCAGGTATGTGAAGTAAATATAGTTATGTAGTTTTACTTTATAACATTTACTGGGTTTTGTGTACAAACAATATTCGTCAAATCGAAGAGATTCCTGATTTACCGTTGTAAAAGTAGTCTCTGATAAGAGTCCTCTGAATGGTGTACTCGAAATGTAAAAACTGTAAGTTTTAATACTCCTATCATTATTATGCTATTGTTTGTAACTACATAACCTGTGAAAGTATTTGAATATTATCAAAAAACTTCGCCATACTAGTGTTTTGCGAAATTTAATAATTGTTATTTTGCATTACCAACTGATAAAATTGTAAGTGTCATAGATTCTGTGTTTGTATATCACATGAGACTTTTACATATAGCATTAGGTTGCTGTCGCTCTCTCCCATATTGAAGCACCAGAGAGTAGAGAGTAAACTATCTCCTTATAAATTACAGGTACCCAATACATGGTTAAAACCAGGTTCCGTACCAGATGATACTAATAGTGTAGCGTCAGGAGAAACAACTACTAGTGACAGTGGCCGTGGAGGCAGTGAGGAGGATATCTATAGTCATAATGGAACTCATAATTTCGGTAAGCAATGGTTTCGAATCTTGATCTAAAACATTTATACCGCCCCTCAGCTATGCTTTGTACATTCAATATAAACGCATTGTTAGAGCTCAGTGTAATAAAGTAAATATTGTTAGGACAGGGGCAACAACTCCTCAATTTGGGACATTCTGTATATGACCAGGAACTTATTAATCATTGGAGTAAGTGATATGAAACGGAATTGAGTTTTAAGTCTTACCCTATCCAGTTTCTATTGAGGGGAATTTTTCCAGGATAGAAACAATAACCTACTTTCGATTTGCGATGGAATTCATTCTCGTCCATGTACATCCATAGCTTGTTTGACTCATTACCTCTCTAAAGTGAAGAAACAACGTGCGTGATGCCAGGGTCTTAAATCTTCCATCCTCAGTCAGTATAATGAGGAATCAATGTGTATTAAAGTCGAGTTAAACCGCTTGATGATATATAATCATATTATACCTACAACTCTCTCTTTAATCGATATCAGACATCAAACGTTACCGACTTCTCATCTCATAACTTAAAGGAACAGTTACTGAAAAGAAAATTGGGGTTAAAGGGATTCTCGAAATAAATAAATATAACAAATAAACTGTGTGAACTCTCAGAAAAAGATGCTTAAGTGACAAAGTTTAAACACCAAAATTAGCTTGTGGACTCTCTAAATGGCATGTCCAGTTGTAAGGTAGCAGAAGGTGATCTAGGAGGCAGCATACCTGCTGCGGTAGTGACATCCGCTACGGTACTCAGATAGGTTTAAATTGAAAATGAAGCTTCCTCTGTTTTACTGCACCCTATGAATTGCTTGGATAACCTAATGAAATGACTTGTACGTTTAAGTTGAAAATGCTCTCTTTAATATCATCTACATTCAATATCGCAATATGATAATCAGCCTGTATCCATTTCACCGCTTATCACAAAGGTTGATCGAACAGGGGAAATCGAACGAACCCACTTTATGTCACAGCTTCCAGGCATTACGTGAATATCGAACTCACCTGTCAATCACACGTCATGTGACAAAGATGGCGGTCGATAGTGATAGAATACGTCAGGATATGAATCAAGATCTTTCCCCGATAATAAAATATATTAAATAGTTCCTCCTCAGTCTTCGTGACTCATTAACTAAATATTAATTAGTTTTTTTTATAGTTAGATATTTATGATATATTGAGTATTTATTATGGTATCAATTGGATCGACAATAAACTTTGAAATGGTCGAAATCCTTGGTTTGTTACTTTGGTACTGACATTTTGAAGGTTTCATCATGATCCTGGCCACGTATTCTCCAAATGATCTTAGCGCTAGGATATCCTTGAATCAATGTTAGAAGATAAGAACATCGAATATACAAGCGCTAAGTTTCGAGAATAAGTGGCGTGGATTTTAGATTACAAATACACCAAAAATTAAGAAAATCGTTCACCGATATTTAGTTTCTGAAACAGAACTGAGCATACAATTTGACTGAAGTCACTATATTCTTTAAGAAAAAACTTTGAATTTTGTCCGTTAAAACAAAAGATAGAAACCAAACATCAAAGGTAAAGGCACTATCGTTATTTAAAAATCAAACATTACAGATCCCACCAACCTTGGCCAAGGTGCCAACAGAATTAAGGCTGGAAATCTCCAGGATTTCAATCTAATTAAATATAGAAATATAAGTAGTAGAATCTTATCTTAAAGATTAGTTCTGTTATCGTAAAGTATCAAATATCTTCCACTGACCTTCTGAAATTCTTCTGATTTGTCTTTTATTCCCCGTGTTTTAAGTGTTAAGAAAAGATTTAAAAGTTGTTGTTTTAGAAATCTAAAGTCTATTATGAAAGATTAAGATTGTACAGAATTTACTCAATTTTCAGAATCTTTTTTCACACTGGGTTGTATTAAATAAATTACTAAGTAAAAATGATATCTTATGCTTTACTATCTTGAACACCTGAAGACCAAGAAATGTAACTTAAATTTCAAAATCTTTTTAGATATTTTCAAAAAAATGAAATAGATAAGTGAAATTTTCAGCTAGAAAAAAAAATAGTTGTTTATAAATAAATTCTACAGACAAAGATTTAGAGAATTTTCTCATGTTTATTTTAGCGGTAAAAAACGTAGTCTGAAGACAGACGTGAAATAGTGTAGAATTGTTATCTCTTTTAAACCATTGTGTCTTAATTTCTACTCTGACAGACAAGAATATCTTTAAAATACCTGAAAACTTCTGCCAACTGACAAAATTGGTTCATGTTTCAAAATTTTGAAAATTCCAAGCAAGTCTGTACTCTGTATACTATAGCCGTGTTAATGGGGCAAGCGGTATAATGTAAGGCCTGGGATTATCTATACAGTACAGTATATAAGATGACTAGATGTCCAGGCCGATACCGTGTGTATTTGCTGCCTCTATATTGTACTGTATGGATAGATAATCCCGCTAAGGATACTGGAGGTCTACTGGACCCCAGCTTCACAATGTCAAGGTATTATAAAGTTTGTCTTCGCCTTGACTAGTGTGAGGTTGACCGCAACCTTAAAATGCTGCCGTTGCACATGATACATGTTTCGCCTCTCGGATGAATAACAAAAAACTCAATTCTATTTTATTTTATAAGTGGAATAGGAAACAACATAATTCAACAAAAAACAAATCAAAAACTCCATTATTTATACTTTAATGTTTGTATTTATTATTTTTATTCCTATTTTGCAGACGAAATCAAAAACAATGTGCAGTCTCACAGTAATACAACTTCCGGTTCACAACCACCAATCAAACCACCGAGAAATAGTGCTAGAAAACACGTGACTTTTCGTGATTCAAAATCGACAAAGCCGCCTCGTTCTGAAACTAGTCCTCCGCATGACGTCAGTTCGTCTTTAAGAGACAAAGATTACCTCCGTGAATCAGATTGGAGAAAACCCAATATATTATTTGTGAAAAATCCAAACAATAATAACAATTTAGATAGTTCCTTTCATAAAAACTTCTACGATAGTCAAAATGTACGGTATCCATCTCAAACTGGAAACGGAAGTAATGGCCATTTAAACGGAAGTGGTCACCAAGTGCATTATATTCCTGCTCAAAAACATAAAGTGCTACCTCATAAAGACTACATCCCCATGACCGGAGGGGTGCCAGGTGCTCGCGATTGGAGAAACGACAGTGCTCTTACGATTACGACGGACGACGGAGACGATCGTTCAACGACCACCTCCGGTAGTTACACCATCGAGAACGATGAACGTTTGGGAGGTTTTGATTATAAAAAGTGGAAGGATGTCGTCGTTTAGGACAATGTGAATAATTTTCTCAACCAAAACCACATTTGTACTCTACTCAACCTCATTCCATCAATTCAGAGATATACAACCTTTCTGAAAACGAAAGTGTTTTCCCAGAGACAGCTAGTATTTTGGAATATTTGGAGCAACAATTTATAACGTTGAGTTAGGAAGATCACTGTTTCGTGGTGGCATAAACAAAGTCATCAAAAAGTGTAGAAAAAAACTCATATAAAAGCTATATACTCTAATCCACAAGGATGTAAAACATATTTAGGGTAAACTCCTGTAGACTGGTTTTTATTTAGTTTTATATATGAACGGATCGATGTTCAAATTGTGGAATATATAAAAACCATGAAACGAAATATTAATTAAATTTCAAAATGTCTCTTTAAAAGATAAATGTAGGGTAAAAACCCCAGCATAATTCCTGTAAGTGTGAGGTGTGCGCTTGTTGTGTCACAACAATTAGTGGGCTATTTCTGTCAAAATACTTATTCTTATGTTGTCATTTAAATGATGACAGCGAAATTAGTACAGCCACTGTTTCTTGTTTGGGAAAGAAACTTTATCGATCTCACCTGCTACAAGTATCCAGCAGTGGGGTCGTAAATACCTACAATACTCTCGGATATTGTTCATATATGAAAACATGAGGAATTCGTTAAGACGGTCACATTATTTCAGACTAGTGCCCCTTGCGACCGATCCAGCCAAAATGGCATATAACTGTCTAGCTATAATCTGAGAGTGTAAGATATTTTGGCAGAAACTGTTGTCATTCTAGAGAAACTATCAGTGACAAATCTACATCAAGCTATGTATGTGTATTGCTGTTGTTTTTGTTGATGTAAAAGATTGTTTATTTTGTTAAATTTTATATATTTATACTATTTCTTGCCATGTATTTATAAAATATGAGATTAAAATCTTCAAATGATTATTTGTCGTCTACCAATAAATCTTGAATTGTTCCAGTACGTGTATTAGGAGGTCCGGGTGATTGAAAAGAGGTTTCGTGCCAATATATATGTTTCGAGGGCAATTGTAGCTTCCATTTGCATCATTCCATTTCCTTTCTGACTTCCGTTGTTTCTGTAATTACAGAAAAACCAGATAATGACACCAATATTGCAAGAAGGAAGACCTGTCCATGGACCATCTAAAAAAATCTTTAATTTGTGTGAAAACGTCAACATCTATGAAAAAAACGTAGCTTCTAGCAAACTGAAATTGTCGGAATAAAATCTGTAATTATCCGATCAAAAGTCAATAATGTTTTTGTCTGTAATATGCACTGTTTGAACCAATATATTACCGATGATATTTACTCGAGAACCTACGCTAATGTTGATATAAACATATAGAAGAATTAACTATATTACAGAACAAAAGATCACAAAACAAATCTCCATTAGCTTGGTTTGATATCAAAGTTTGCTTTACCAAATATAGTCTTTATCTAAACCAATTATGCAAATCACAAAAGTCTTTACACATCTTGTGCATCAGTGAAAATATTGAATTTGCCTACGTAGCGTTTTACAACTTGCATTCTGTATCGATTCAGAGCTTTAAGTAGTCGTAAACGATGAAATTAAAAGTGGTAGGATGGTTTTACAAACTTAAAAACTCTGAAAACGAAATTTATAGTTCTTAATCTTTCTTTTCTATCCCTAATTGGTTCAAAGGTGAACGTCAGTATGTAAGAAAAGTAACTGTGCCA